ATTCTTATCCCTTTTGCCTTAATTTAGTGACTTTTTATTTTTCATTCTTTCGAGTATATTTAAATTCCCTTTCTTTCTTTCTTTTCTTTCACGTTTCAGTTTTCTCCCTTTTTCTTTCTCGTTTTCTTTATTCTTTCATTTTGTCTTCTTCTTCTTCTTCTTCTTCTTCTTCTTCTTCTTCTGCTTTGCGCGTATCCCTTCAGTAAAATGTGGGTGATCATGTTTCTCCGCTATATTCTGTCCCCTGTAGCTCTTAGTAAAGTTTTTGCTATCTCTTCTAATAGCTGTTCTACCAACCATTTACACAAGCTCGTTAGGTAGTTTATTCTCTGTTTTCCTCTATGTCTTGTGAGTGCCAAATTCTCCAAGCCCTCTTTCCTCATTATGTGCTCTAAAACTTTCAATTGTCTCTCTCTGATGTTTTTTCTGGTGTCTCTTTCTGGTGTCCTTTTTGTTTCTATTTTCCTTAAAGCTTTGTTTTTGCTCGCATGTTCAGCCCATGATATTCTCAGAATCCTTCCATAGAACTACATTTTTATTGTCTCAAGTCTCTTCTTCACCTATGAAAAGATTGTCCAGCATTCACTGCCATATAGGAGGGTCGATATTTCATAATAGTTCAGCATTCTTTTATTTGTTTCTAATGATTTTTTCTTTCTCGTGTCTACACATGGGAAGAATTGCCAAAACTTTCATTATATTTCACTGAAGCAACAAGGACTACTAAATAATATTTTAGATACATCTATCTCTTTGATAGGCGGAGTGCCTGAGCTTCTCTCTTTCTCTCTCTCAGTATGTGTGAAAGATATCAGAATAAAAATGAAAGAACGAGTGTGTCTTTGTAATTTTATATATACGTCTAAAAATACAAAACAATCATTAACAAAAGTTTAAGACCACTTAGTTGTAAAATGTATTTTTTTCTTTTTTGTATTACCTTTCATGATATGAGATTGTATGAAGCAATAACTTTTGGTTAATACATCAACTATTATTGACACACGATATATGGTTCAAATCTTTTTGCCTTTGCCAAATTAGCAGCTATTGTGATAGGTATGTGCAATGAATTAGGCTTATAATATGGGCATAAAATCCTCACTTTCACCTATAGGAAGCACTCAGATTATGTTTTATAGGATGAAGGCTATTCTTAACGGGAAATTGTAAACGATGGTTGTAGCAAAACAGCTATACACACTGCACTCGGTAATTTCTAAAATCCATGGATATTTAGTGACATAGGGGAACGTTCAAAGAAAACCATTTCTAGAGATGACTATTTGATGAAACACATTGATACACGATCCCCAACAAACCCTTGTAAGATGATACGTATTGCTCTGCTTCAGATTTGTAAAAATCTCTATTCTACGATAATTTCATGACGTTTGTGATTTTAGTTCAAACCGTTCGTAAACCATGTATAACTGCAGCTACGATATCCAAGCATTTGGCATTTGCTAAGCAACATAAAACCTCGACAGTTGAAAATTGGATCAAAGTTTTCAAATGAACATACTTTGGAACAGTTTGTTAAACATAAAAGAATCATTATAGGATCCCCTGGTAAGAGATTTAATGAAAGGTATACATTTCAGATTACGAAGCACCCACCAGGCCAGATGATTTTAGAGTGGGGGCATGTCCAAATCTGGAACAACAGAAATCTACTTCTTGCATCTAGGAACAACGATGAATGCTGCTAGGTAAGTGAAATTACTGCAGGAGACATTGAAACAGCATATGCACTTTTATCAGTGGATAACATTTATGCATAATGGTGAGGCATGCCACCAGTAAAAAGTCGATTCAGAACTTTTTGACAGACATTTTTGTTTCGTCAAAACTCCGAGCACCCACAGACGATGCAAGACGCCCCATATCTCAGTTCAATGATGGTATGTCTCAACTCATCAGCCAATTGAACAGTATACAGTACATCCAATATAGTTTCGTCATACTTTTATTGACACCACGGCATCGATTATTGCGTCAACTTATTGCGCCATATAAAGTCACCATTGCGCCGTCGATGATTGGTTCTATGTCACGTTGCAAAACACGTCTCATTCCTATCTTTCTCGCTATATATATCTTTATATATATATATATAAATATGTGTGTGTGTGTGTGCGTGTGTTGCTTTGTTAGACGACTGACAAGGTACAACGATTAAGCTTTTTATTTAATTTTTCTTGGGTTTGTACAAGTGTACACAGAGTGTGTAAAAACTGTCCAAAAGTTCTGCATTTCCGAGCGCTTTCGGCTATACTTTTAGCCATTATCAAGGATGATTTTATTTTTACTTTTTAACAAATATATGTTGGAGCTGCTCAGCAACCTTGACATATTTGGGAAAGACATTAGAATAATCAGAAACCTCTATTGCCAACAAACCGCTTGCATAAAGATAAAAAAAAAATGAGCTCAGCAGATATACAAAAATAGGAAGGGGCGTAAAGCAAGAACGTGTATTCTCACCGGACCTATTCAACCTATACAGCGAGGCAATTCTGAAGAAACTGAAAATCCTACCAGGATTCATTACTGGCGGCAACAATCTTAACAACATAAGATACGGAGATGACACTGTGCTGATAGTAGGCACGGAAAGGAAACTACAAAACCTGCTATAGAAGGTAGCGAAGGAAAGCGAGAAGAAGGGACTAAGCATAAACTACAAGAAGACTGAATACAAAAAGATGAGCCCAAAATAAGATTTCTATATAACTTTTAAAAACATAGAACTTGTAAATCATTAAATGAACCTTGCTTCTTATGCTTACACGAGAAATTAGAAATTATTAGATTCGCTGATAAAAATTCTCTATTAAATCAAAGAAGTGAATTAATTGTAAATTGTAGGCATAGTTTACTTTGAAAAGATAGTACTATTTCATATGGTCATAATTAGTAAGAAAATTGTGGTGCACCTTCTATAAATGCTTATTTCAATCTAATTTAATATAGTTATGTACTGTTGTTTAGTCGGCATTATCAATATCTTATATGAATGTTACACATTTTTTTATTTTTAAACACTTAAATTGTATGTACTGGTTTCTTAAAGAGGCCTTTTTATTATCAATTACAAAATATATGTTACAACACAACCCCTCCACTTAGCTTCTTGAAAAATTGAAGACGTTATATTTGTTTCATAATTATGACACAAGGTTGCCATTCGCTTATAGCTTGTATCAATTTCTTGTCCGTCCCTTATGACCTTGTCTACGATTATATTTCAGACCACATTTTAAAATTCCCCTTTTTCTTTTCTTTTTTTAGGTGAATTTTGAATTAGGCGTAGGTCTGACATCTAATTAATTAATCAGGGTAAACCCACAAGCCTCATTTTCATTTTGATTTGTTATCTCTTCTCTTTCGAAAAAAGTGTAGTATTCTACTTTTGAAATTTAAATATAATTATTTACTCACCAGTTATTTACCATTGCCTGAAGAGACACAATTTAATGCTGAAACATGAAATCTATTGTTTAGCGATTTTTAATATATTTCGTTGAATGTGACAGACAAAGAAAATTTCATTAATTTTTTGCTTTGTTTATAATATATATATTTGTGCGAGCGCGCGCGTGTGTGTGTGTGTGCGTGTGTGCGTGTGTGTGTGTGTGTGTGTGTGTGTGTAAGTAGAAATAATAGTTTTATTAAAGACAGCATATATTTTAATAGGTTTTTCTTAAAAATTAAGTTAAAAATAGAAAATTTGGTATTAATAGTTAATTTCGTTACTATTAATACTTAACTTGGCATCACACTATTTTTTGCCATACCAGGCTAGGTATAAAGACAATTAAATATAAAAGTAAAAGTTACATTTGTAAAATATGATCGGGTTTTTTGATTGGCTTATACGTGTTTCAGCCTTTTCCCAGCTAACAAAATGACGTTGCTACGTTTCTATAACGTTATATAGATGTTGCTAAAATGCTTTTTTGTTGGCATATATATGGTTCACCTTTTTCGCAACTAACAAGATGATGTTGCTATAACGTTTCTACAACGTTACATAGAGGTTGCAAAAACGCTTTTTATTGGCATATGTATATGATTCATCCTTTTCTCAGCTAACAAGATGACGGCGATATATATATATATATATATATATATATATATATATATATATATATATATATATATATATATATATCTTCACCCTTTACCGGGTAACAAGATAACGATGCTATAACGTTTCTACAATGTTACATAGACCTTGCAAAAACGCTTTTTATTGCCATATATATGCTTCAATCGTTTCCCAACGTTACATAAAGGTTGCAAAAACGTTTTTTGTAGACTACCGACAACGTGCCCTCAACGTTACATTGTTAAGTTACATCTACAGAAAATGGATAATAAATTCCATAAAGCATCAAAATTAATGATTCTCAATCAAAGAACAAAATATGAAAAGAAATATTATGCTTTCGATATATATTGTTAAGTGAAGAAAAAGTATTCTGCTCTTATTTGACCAGTGTGGAATTCTTTAGCTACAGCTTTTCACAAATTTGCAATAACGTTGTAACAACGTTGGGGATGAGAGGCATGTCTGGATTCAGCAAAACAATTTCAATAACGTCACCACAACGTCACATACCGACCCAACAGAAATACAACATATCCGCAATGTTGCAAGAACGTTCCATCTTAGCTGGGTTCTCTGGGCACAAAGTCCATTACCTTACAGCGGAATTTTTCGCATTCAAAATAAAAACATTAACAAGCAATATATATGTGAACGAAATAACTGCAATGTATTTGCTTCTGAGGAAATACAAATTTTCACAGATGAATGCCTTCAGGCAAAAGCAGAAAATGCTTGAAAAAATGTTTTGTCTCCCCAAAGTACATGCCATAAAATATTTATTCTTTTTAATTTCTCGACGGAATAGTAAGACAAATATTTTATGCTACAAAGATTTTTATTAAATCTGATTCATTGTTTACGAAGAAACACATTACTGGAGGCTTACGGCTACATCATGTTGAAACATCGCTTCTCGTACGATCACTGAAGTTAAGCAACATTGTGCCTGGATAGTACCTAGATGGGTGACTGCTTGGAAGTACCAGGTGCTGTAAACTTGGATGTGCGTGTGGTGAGATGGATAATGGCTCGGAATTATTAGTCAAAGAATCGAGTTCCACGTTTGGTTCATTACATTCACTTACGCCTTTGAAAAGGCATGAATCCATCTCTTCTCCCCAAGCAATGGGTTAATTAGTAAGAGGTGCATCACTAAACCATTATTGTCTGAAAAGAAATCTTACAATCTAAATATATTTTCTGGCTTTAAATAACCAACAAAGCGTTACCATTACTCGAAATACGTATAACAAGAAAACATTTTATATTGAAATTGAGTGAAGTAAAATATCCTAAAATGCCAATGTAGCTAAGACGTCTGATCGAATTCAGAGGTTTGAATCAAATTTAATATCGATAAGGAATATTTGACCTAAGAAGAGTTGATTTGTGGTGACCCCAGCGTGTACTTGTTTAAAAGATAATGAAATAACTTTTGTACGCGGTGTCACCAAGCGGACACCAACCACGATGAACTGATTTTCTCTTATGGAGACCCCGTACGTTGAGCGCCTAATGAGACTTCTTAACCTAAACCTCAAATGGAAATCTTACATACGATCCATCGCTAAAGATGCTGGGAAAATGGTCGGTTCCCTGTACAACTCCAGTAAGTACTTGATCCCTCTAGTTATCCGTGGCTTTACAAAAGCCCGCCAAGAACGAAAATGTTAAAGCTGCCATATATGGGCAGGAGCTACCACTCTTCACTTTCCAGTCTCGAAAGAGTGAAAAAACCGTCTCCGCGGCCTTGTGGTTGATGAATTATTTTCCCCCAACAGCCTCTTTACTACAGATAAACGTTGCTAGCTTCTCGTTATTCTATCGCCATTTCCATATAGAGACTTATATGTTTAGATTAAACGCGAAAGAACCCTTAGGCAGGTGCACATACTAATTTTATTTATTGAGTTAAAATATGGCAATATTTTATCTCTACGACCAAATCAATGTGGCTTGTATTTTTAATCCAATTCTATTGAATTAAATATAATAAGATTTTTTTTGACTCAAGGTTTTTTTCTGCAGTCTGTTGTGCAGTTACTGTAACTATTCTTAATTACATTAATACTTTAAATAGAAATTATTCTTTTTAATGTTATTATTCAATATAATATTATTTCAATATGAAAGCGCGAAGGATACATAAATCATAAAAATAAATTTACCTCTTCCTTTTTTTAATAAATTTTGGATAGTTTCGATATTTTCATGGCAATGGAAATCATTTACATTTTTGCACGTTCTGTTTTGATTGCTTTTTTAAATATGCCATTTCTCAGACATTAATCACCGCTCAAGTTTTCTTTCTTTCTTCTTTGCTTTTGCAAAGGGTTAGCACTTGCTCATAAACAATATTTATGTTTTGAAGAACCTTTATTTGAATCTTTTTGTACTATTAACTATTTTATACATTTATCCCGATATAAAAAGAAAAGAATTGTGCAATTTTGATATAAGATCTGCTGCATTAATAACCCTTTGCCTATTTGCTGAATACAGTGGTCCAAATTACCTCTATTTTTGTAACACTCAATATAATGAAATTTTAATTAACCGACCCTTAAAATATAATATCATACCCTTAATAATATTTATTCGTGTAGTATAATGATGTTCGGCTATATGAAGGTGTTTTAATGTTGGCAATATATTTTTGCTATATATTTTGGTCATTTGTAAATTTTAGAAAGTTTTCATCACTTCCAGAAATGGGTCTCTAATATAATCGGTCCTGACCTGGCATCTCTACTTCAGGCATTTCCAATGTCATGACATTAATCCCTTCTGCTTTTTTTTTAATATTTTCATGTCAATTGTTTCAATTGTTCTTATAAGATCTTCTTCTTGGTACCTCGACTGCACGAATTTATGCGTACTACTAGATTGGGAACTAGTTCTCGCCATTTTACTGTTGAACTAGCTAGATTTTTCTTTTCCTTCACTTCCCGCCTACAGAACTCTTTTCTGGTTTCTTGCTTCTCTGTCACCTACAATTCTCAAAAATATAAATGCAACGCCAATCGCTATGTTCTGTCTTCTTGAAATCTGTTCTTTTATTGTCCTTTCTCCTCACTAAAGTATTCTCATTCTCTTTCACTCCCAGTAACCTCTTGCGTCTTAATGGCATTATCACCTTGCTTAGGGTGGAATTATCAAAAATAAAGTGACAAAACAACCATTTGATCTTTGAAATGAGTTGACATAATCGAAATTAATTTTGAATGACAAAATTGACAGGACAATATATTGAATTAAAAAAGACTAAAAGCTCCTTTATATACATAAAAGTAACTTTAACTGCAATTAAATTCAAATTTAAAACTTCAAAGAAGTTTTCAAAATTATTGCAAGAGGTTTGAATTTTTTATTAAAATGTACGTTATCAGATTTTAAGTTAATAACAATAAAAAACCGACCCCACTTCATATCCAAAGACTCTAAAAACAGTGTATATGTTGCTTTACACCTGATAAATTTATTTTGGGATTATGTATGAGAATATGAAAGGTGTATCTGATCATTAGATCTGACCATTAGATATGAACAAAAATGTTACAAAGCAACAGATACCGGGAAATTTGTAAATAGCACTCAACTTGAACTGCGCTTGTGCATGATCTGATCTACCTAACACTTTTGTTTAATTTAAATTTACTTTTATCTCTTCAATAATTTATTACATGAATGTTTTTATAGTTCGCTTTGTAATAAAAATTTTAAAATTTTGTCTGCAGTGTTGGATGAAAGCTACAAGATCTGATCTTATGCCTCAATAATCTTGTTTGTTTGTTTTCATCAACAGTTACGAAGATCGCACACACTCGGCTCGTATCACTGAATGTTTTCTCCCTAACTTCATAGTGTTCAAAGTAAACATTTATTAATGCCGATATACGTTTCTCGTGAGATTAACGTTACAGAATCTTTCAAAAAAGAAAATATGTCTTTATTGATTTTTTTTTTCACCAACTAAATTAGCGAAATTAAATTTCAGACACACTGATTCTCTTTGTGGGTCAGTAACTACTGAACATTAAATTAAAAGAAGCGTTTAAACTTTCTGCTCTGAATTATTTGCTGATGTTCTGAGATTACATGTTTTCATTATCTCATTTTTTTATCTTCATATTTGTTGTTTTAAGACAAAGTTTTAACAGGCATCTTCCAAATTATTCGCGTTAAATTGCATCTGACTGTCTGTAGAATATAGTGAAAAGGCATGTTTTTTTCTTTAAATTTGGTATCATGATGCATTTAAAGGAAAACACTGAAAGTACATTTTATCAGATGTTAATATGAATTTTGTCTAGGAACAAGTAAAACATTTTCAGAGTATCTATGCGAAGATCCTGTGTTTCGCATGTCTAGCGCTTCGGTGCGGATTGTGGGGCGGCAACTTACTTTATAAAATAAAAACCGTGGCGTGAAACGACTTGAACTATAAGACGACCATATGAAATGATTGCAAAGGTTCTGAGTTTTATAAAACAAGATAAGACATTTTTACCTTATCTCATATTATGAATGCTTTCTGAATTTATCAAATAAATACCGGTTGCATTTTTTTCTAAAATAAGTATGGAAAAGACTAATAAAGGCTGTTAAAGCAGGAATTACAAACTAAAAACGTGTTCAACATGTTGATAAACAAGGTGAGATTTCTTTTAAGCTCCTTTCATTGTTTTTCCAAAGTAACGCGTCTAAAATACCGATAGCTTAATATTTGAATGCAACAGACTTTATTTACTGAAAAAAAAGTTTGAACAAAGCAACTATAAACAATTTTTTCTATCCTCTGCCAGCCGCAATGATTGGAAGTCATCAAACAGTTTCATATAAGGAAACATTGTCCCTTGCCTAACTTCTCTTCATTTTGTCCAAATAAAGTGGAGTTTTTTTTTCAATAATGTTCGCCCTGTACAAGGCACAAGAACTATTCCATGTTACAGAGTAAGAGGCACAGTTTATGGGGATATGTGGGGAATATAACGGTTAACCGTAGACTTCAACAGGTTAAAATTGTAGTGATCGAGGAAGCACCCTCTTGGAAATCGGTTCTACAAAGTAGCGGTTTGTAGGAAAAAGCTGTTCGAGTATAACTTACATCTAACCAATGGAATACGAATGGAACGACGGTATTTTGATACAATGTACGTGTCATGGCGGGTCTTTGCCGTGAAGGTTAGAACTGACGAAACTAAGGAATGTTGTTCGTTTGAAAACTTTCTCATGAAAATATCGATAGAATAACGAAAGATTTGCAACGTTTCATCTATAGGAAAGGGGTTATAGGGTGGAAAATAATTCATCGCGCACAAGACAGCGGAGACGCTTTTCGACTATCGGTACTGGAAAGGAAAGGGTAGGCAACTCCTGTCCATATATGGCAGCAGTATTCTATTTTCGTCTTGATCTGGATTTTGTAAAGTAGTGCATATCAAATGTAATGTCAATCGACATTTTCTGATGCCTTGACCTTGATCCCTGTCCTTCTCTTTATCCTTTTCCCAAACACTCCTCTTTATTCTTACTCCCAATCTTCTGTAACCCCTTGCACGCTAGTGGCACTCCTGCTTTGCTTGGCGTGATTTGCTTAAAAAAAATAAAATAGAATGCCAGGAGCAGCCAGGGACTTATTGAATCAGGATATCATTAGCAATGGATCATATATACGAGTTTCACTTGAAGTTTAGGTTGAGTCCCAATAGGTGCTCAAGTCAAAATTCAGTGTCCGCTCGGTGATGATCGAATGTAGATTAAACACGAAATAACCCTTAGACAGGCTCACATACTATATTTATTTATTGAGATAAAATATTGCAATATTTTATTGCTAGAACAAAATCAATGTGGCTTTTACCTTAAATTGAATTAAAATATGTGACGGCTTACGGACACATCACCGGTTAAACAATGTCGAACTTGATCAGTACCTAGATGGGTGACCGCTTGAGAATACCAGTTGCTTTAAGTTTGGATGCACTTGTGGTGT